TATTTTCTTTGTACATATATATATATATATATTTATGTAAATATATATGTATGTATATGTATATGTATGTATATATATATATACATATATACATACATATACATATTCATATTTATATATATATATATATATATATATATATACATATATACATATACATATACATATATGTAATTATTGATAATATTTAGATTTTATTACAGTATATAACTAATGTACTAGAATATTTAAAGATCAATCTAAATTTACTGATAAGTCATTTATTTTCTCTGTGCATATATATATATATATATATATTACACGTAACACAGGCAACATAAATGTTGTTGTTTCCTCTGTGCATGAACGTAAGCAATTCTCAAAAACCACACAAAAAAAGTTCAGCTTGCCTTATTAAGGCGATCAATATTTTATACTTTTTATGTCGTTGAAGAAAGAAAACATATTATCTAGTTGGGTGTTGACTCTAAACATTTATGGTTTTTGATGGGTCCGGAAAACAACAATTAAAATTATAAACTAGGAAAAGTTTGTCATCCGGCGGTACGCTTTACGAGTTTATACGGAGAGAATAAAATTTGATATTAAGAGCAATACTAGGAAGACTTTAACATCAAACATAATAATTTACATATGTCCACATGGAACAAGGTTGCATATTAATATATATTCAAGAAACCCAAAGAAAACAAACCAAGGAAGACATTTAAAATTCAGCTCTACAATTGACATACTAGGTCTATAAATGGCCGCGTTATTGTATTTTAAAACATATAAAATAAAAATTAATATGTTAATGTATATACAAGACACATGAAACAATTGGTATAGGGAGAATTATGCACTAAGGAATGTCAAAGAAAAAAAGAAATGTCATAAACTCATAATAAAAAATATTTTAATGGATATTAAAACATATAAAATATAAAATTAATAAGTCAATGTGTATACAAGACATATCAAACAATTTGTATAGAGGAGGATTATGCACTAAGGAAGTAAAAAAAAAGAAAAGAAAAGAAACGTCATAAACTCATAATATCTATTAATGTAGGAAAATGTTGTAAGAGAAAGATGTACATTAATCCTTCTATTTATGTGATTAAGATTATTAACGAAAACGGCATATGCGAACTGGGGACCTTTTATTGCGTAAGACTAACGTGATAACCGACTACACCAAAATTTATATCTAAATATATTTTGAGTGCTCGTATAACTGACGAATGAATTGATAATATAAGTTTATTTTTATTTTATTTTATTTTTATAGAATCGGTACTATAAGTGTTGGATTTAGCAATAAGCATCATAATAATAAGATAAAATTAGATGACAAAGGAAGAAGAACATGTGAAATGCGTGTTTCACTTCATTACTTGTCCTTACAGCATGGTCTAGAAGCTTCCTCAAGCATTTGATTCTTAAAAAGCATGTGATTATTCAGATACATGCATGTGATTAGGACCGAGATCCCCTAACAGTCTCATTACTACAGGTACAACTTATCTCCATGATTAATCTATCTATCAACCGTTAGTAAAGAAAGGTTTTAATTATACGTTATCAAATAATTAGGTCATGTAGGAGCTAATATACATATAAAATATATATAGATACGTAGTGGGAGTCACTTCACCTTATTTGCGAAAATACCATTAATTTTTATATATGTAGACCGGGCCTCCATTTCACTAACAGGCCGGGCTTATTGGATCGCAATAATGGCTCTGAACGACCAATCCGTAAGAAAGATCTTGACCGTCCATTGATGAAATGGACGGTTACGATCAGTCCATTCTATCCGAAGTCTACCAATACGGATCTTTTTAAGATGACCGCTAGAAGGGCAGAGAGAAGCCCCAAGGCCTAGGGTTTTCGATTTGTCTCTTCTCCCCCTTCATTTCAGCGACCGGGAATCAGGTTGCCGAGCTCGCGGTTTGGAGAGTTGACTCGTTTGTCCTCCAAAGGATAAGGTCGGTTCGATTCGCTTCCCTTTTGCCCGTCTCTTTCTATTTGGATCTCATTTTTCTATCGATGTTGTTCTCTCTCTTTGTTATTCTAAGTTCTCGTGAGTTTACCTGGAGGAGCACCTCTGGAGCTTTGTTGTTGATGAAACCTATCGTGAAAGATGATTTGTTGGAGGTTATGTGTCAAAATCTTCTTTTTTGGTTTCTCTTGTCATCAAACACTATTCCCATTCAGATGTTTGAAAGATAGTCTGCACCATTTCGTGACCTATCAATAGCTCCACAGTTACCAATCCTTCCACTCATGCCCAAGCTTAATATGGTTGTTCAAGAAAACCTCTTTTTTTATGTTTTAACTTGCTTTCTTAATATCTGCATTTGCCAGCTTACCCCGAAAGAAAATATTGTGCCGCGGTTGTTACCTTTGATGCTGGATGATTTTCTGATATCTTAAAATCTTAATATTGACAGTGCTTACTGCTCATAAACATGCTAGACTTTGATTGGTGAGATGGAAGCGTATGTTCGAATTGAAGTCCCAGCAATCTGTACTGTTTGTGTTATGTGTAATGCGCTTGATATTTAAAAGCTTAAGGAAAGAACACATTTTTTTATTATTAATATTTAAAACATAGTCTCTTATTTTATTATATTTGTTATGTAAAGTATTTTCTCTACCATAGTTTGTCAATTTCTCGAGGTTCCCTTCGTTGTTGTGAGAATGAAATAGTCATATAGGTCCATCATCAAACTGAACAACTTCTAAAGGTGATAAGTGGCTTTTGGTAATTTTAAATTTAATTTCAGTTGTTTGGGATGCAGGCATAGTTTGCTGTCTTGTCGAAATGGCTAGACAACCGAGCCCTGATATTGACGATGAACTCTTTAACGAAATTTATGGAAAGGAATATACTGGTCCTCTGCAATCAGCTGAGACTACCACCCCAAAAGGAGATACAAGCAAGAGGCCGCTTTCTGGTAGTCAGTCTGATGAGGAAGATGAGCCTCGAGATCCTAACGCTGTACCAACCGATTTCACGAGTAGAGAGGCCAAGGTGTGGGAGGCTAAAGCCAAGGCGACTGAAAGGAACTGGAAGAAAAGAAAAGAAGAAGAGATGATATGCAAGATTTGCAGAGAGTCGGGACATTTCACCCAGGTATTATGCACACTTGCCCTTCGAAGCATTTGCAGTGCACCATAAGGCTGTAAGGAATGAAACTGCTTTCTTGTCGTATAAGTTTTCTTTTTTTGTCTTTTAATTCTTCACTTAGTTTGCAGATTGAGTTCACTGGAATATGCTAAGAAAAAAACAAGAAATCTTTTTGAAAAACAGCCAAATACATTTTTGGATTCTCTGTTGAAACAGTCGCTAGATAACTGTAGCTCGCTGGCTTATTGCAACATCTTTATAGTATTGTATCGTCACTTTTACGGGGCAGAATGTTATGAGAACTAATTGAGCTAACATATATAACATGACTATGGTAAAGAAAAGAGGTACTTCTCTGTGTTAGCTCTTTTGCTAAGTGTATTTTTCTCATTAGAATAGCAATAAAGGAAATAAATGTTTGGGACCGGTTCAGATTGTATGATTTGGTGAAAGGAAAACATAGGAGCTTTCTTTTTCTGTGGGCATGTTGTTAGAAATTCATTTTTTTTATTATCCCATAAAAATGACAAATTTTTGTGGTGTCTGATGGATATTAAACTTTGTGATTTGAACTTTCAATTATTTTGCATGTGGTGGTACAGCTTCATAAGGTTGAGAGACCATTGCCTGGTGCATGTGCTTTTCATATTTTAGAGTCGGAGCCTGCTATCACCTTCACATTATTTTGTATATCCTCGCCTAAACCCTCTGCTTGTCTGTTTTGTCTGTTGTAGGGATGTCCATCTACTCTCGGAGCAAATCGTAAATCTGCTGATTTTTTCGAAAGAGTTCCAGCAAGAGACAAGAATGTGAGAGCCCTTTTTTCTGAGAAGGTGATAAATCAAATCGAGAAGGATGTTGGATGTAAGATAAAAATGGATGAGAAATTTCTGATTGTCAGTGGAAAAGATAGATTAGTTTTGACAAAAGGTGTAGATGCTGTGCATAAAGTGATTCAGGATGGAAAGGATAGAAAGAGAAGCCCTAGTAGTTCAAACAGAAATGACTCTAGATCACCTGATGGAAGTCCCAAGGGTTCTCATTTAAGGCGTTCTGAATCTCAGAGGTCTCATTCTAGTCCAAGAAACACGTCACGCCTCCCAAGCAGGGGCTTCAATCAGGAAAGGCCTGCTGACAATCATGTTCGTCAAGAGTCGAGTAGAATGTCTAGGGGTTCTCCACGAGGTAGGATGTTAAATGAGACTTCTGCTGTCAATTGATGAGTTGTGGAACTTGAAAGTGTTTATAATGTTCTGTGTGCTAGTTATCTTTTAAGTCTGATGATTATATATAACATTTATCCTATTTGGTCTACTATGAAGTGATTTTCTATTTGTCCTTTTGCAGCAAGAGGTAAGTTCAAGATTTATGTGTTCGATTATGAAGTGATTTTCTGCGTGGTTCTGGGTCAGACTGATTTATTGAATGCAAATAGGTATACTGAAAGAATAACCAGACTTTTTTGGTTTGACTTGCTTGTAATTGCTGCATCTTTCTAGTGTTGTTCCTTCTCTATACATAATGTATTCCCTAATTAAAATATCAATTTACCTTAGACATCTGATTTGGTAGTCCAAATTCGTTTACATGTTCTTCATTTCATGAAGCTTATGCTAATGATGGAGGAAAAGGCCATGCAACTCGTTCAAAATCTCCTCTCCGCACAGCATTTGGTCGCGATGCGTATAAATCATATGATGGACACGATCATTATACTGGAATGCATGATAACAACTGGGATGTTGCAAGATTGAGATCAGATTCCCACTCTGAGTGTAAGGTTAACTTTCCTAGTTACCCCCAATCTTTGGAAGAACTTGAAATGGAATTTAAGAAGGAGTTGATGGAACTGGGAAAGTTACATGATCAAGAAGAGGATGACGAGAACTACAAGCATCGTCAGGTACAAGCTAACTATATTATTAACTATGCATCTGTTCAGAAATACTTTGGTGTTCATTATGTTAATCTCTAAGAGAAGATCATTGGGACTTAAGCACTTTGCTTATTTTTGTCATTTATTAAATAAAATATTGCTCCTGAACACGCGAGCTTGAGTGCTCCTTTAGCTTCAATTTTGCATTGTTCATGGATGGTTAGATTCATGTTATTAGTTTACCTTGGCAATGCCACTATAGTTATTTGTAGTCTTTATTCACAATTCCTACTTGACCCAGTTGCATGATTGCCCCTGTGAATCTTGGTCTGTAAATAGCCAAGACCTTCAGGCCAACATTTTCTTCCTTCTGGTGAGGTGTGTGCTTTGTTCCACTTCATTTGTGAATATTATGCACTTGTTACTGGTTGTTCTCCTAATGTCCAGTTTCAGTTGCACTGTATCTAAAACTATGTATGTTCGGTCTTTATCTCTGTGTACAACCTCTGAACTGTTTGCACCAATGCTTGTGTATATGGTGGTAATTATTTGATTATAACAATCTGTTGACCCTTCTAACGATGTGAACCCATGTTTTTTGAAGATGGGATCTAGGCAATGCCGTAATTTTACATCCTTGCTTCTCACTAAATTCTAACAGGATGAAGTGCAAAGGATCTCAACATCCATATATGAGGCTAGGACAAATCATTCATTTTGAATTATTGTATGTGGAAGTCAGCTATGGATAAGGCGTATTCTTTGAAGGAGTAAAACTATGGGAAAAAAAATATCATATGTTTGTCATTCATATATTGCTTTAAGGGTTGCAACATGTTCTTGGAATAAGTAGGACTGATGTAAAAAACTAAAAACAAATCCTAATTTCAATATTTTATTGCTTGGCTGCATTTGTATATGCCAATGTTGTGTATTTCATAAGTACCGCAGATGTGTCATCTGTTGTGCAGAGGTGGTGGTCAAAGAGGGTGCTCTTGATTGGTAAAAAGATGTTTCTTGATATAGTGGTCAGTGGTGATGTGCTGTATAATCACCCTGAAACACCACAGCTGCTATATGGAATTTTCAAAAGTTCAAGCAGTAATTATGACCATGAGCATCGTGTCTGTGTCTCTATAATATCAACAAAATGATTAGCTGGTGGAATAGAGTTTTTATTCTCTTTTTTCCTTTATATTGCCTTTTGTATTCTTGCTCCTTAGAAATAAAATTCAGTCAACTATTGCTCTTGTCTGAAATTGTAACTATAACTCAGCATCTGCTCTTGAAGATTAGTTGTCTGAGATTCTTAGCCATTGTTGTGAAATACTTTCTTCAATTGGATGTCACAATTGATATGTCTTTCTTACATTTTTCTTTTAGAATCTTCAGATACACAGCCACAGCTAATAATCACTTTATTGTTTTGGACTAGCTTTCTTAATCACTTCATACTTGAGGTTAATCAGCAGGATATAGATCTGTTTCATGGGATGATCATATGGGAGCTAAAACTTTTCACATAATGACCTGCAAGTAACTGACATCATACATTCTTGGGGTGAATGCAGTGTGTAAGACAGCTGAGAGAGGATCACACGAAGAAGCTGGCTATTATGAGGGGTATGCACATCAAGCAGTGGGAAGAATTTCTTCAACTTGATGTCCGAAGACGGCAACAAGCATGCCAAACTGTCTTTAACCAGCCATCTCTACCAGAGTATGATCAGTCTGCCAGGAATATGCAATATGTTGGGTCTGGTTTACCAATGGATTCCACAAATATATACCAATACGCTGGCGAGAACTTTTCAGCTCCAAGGCCACATGATGCATATAGTGAATTTCAGCATCAAAGGCATGAAGATTTTGGGAATGCATATGGTCGATATTAATCAGTATTGAATGTGGTGGTGAGTTGATGTTTTTTATTTGTCTGTTTCAAAGTAGGAATGGAAGTAAGCATTGTGCTTTATCATTAGTTTTCGCATAACGCTTTAGTCAGTCAGTTTACAAAGGATGAGGATAGTGTAGATCGTTTGTGGTTTGAGGTAGGTGTGCAGGGCTCATAATATTGTCATGCTTTTAACCTGGAAAGATTTCTTTAGATGTAAGTGCATGCAAAATTGACAGGTATCCGACTTTTCTTGTGCCCTAATTCTTTCTAGCCCAAAATTTCAGGTTGCATGTAAGGGAATTCAAGTTCAAAAAGATTGCTGGTTCCATGGTAACCATCCAATCTCTTATGTTGTTGAGGTTTTAGGATCCATTGTTCAAGAATCTGACTGTATCTGCAACACTCAGCGGCACACGTTTCAGATATGTAAAGAAATTCATTTGCTGTGGATTGGAAGGTTCATCTCATTGGCATGATTTAGAAATGTATCTTGCTGGTAGGCTTGTTTTTGTAGATACTCTTTTGGACATCCAGTCTCGTATTCCAACTGGAACTACAAAAATTCCAAATTAGATATTTTGGTTAGATGTAGTTTGTTTGACATGTGAGCTGCTTTGACAAGAAGCTTGTTTTTTATGCATGTTGAGCAACTGAGTTGGTAAATTCTTATGGTTCTAATAGGGAGAAAGTTATGCTGAAACGAAGTTATGTAATACCATGAAGGGTTGAGTTCTTGCCGTGCTGAGGCAGTTGTTTCAGGCAAATATAAACAAACACATGCTAGTATCATTCCCTTGGTATCATCTAAGCTCAGTATTGTTTCCAACTGTTGCAAAGTTGATCTTTTTGGAGCGTCTTAGTCCAGGTGCTGTTGAGTTACCACCAAGCAGTTTATGCATTGTTTTTTGCACAATTACATTGTGATCGGTTTCTGTGACAAGTGAAACTCTTTAATAAACACTTGGGTTGAAGATTGAAGAATTCAATTTGTAATACATGGTGGATCAGTTGCCTTGGTGTTCTGTCGCAATAGACAAGAATTTATGCGACTGGTTGTCACAAACAGAGAGCTCTTTCTGCTGTCATTATTTGGGCTCCAACTTCATTGTGCAGGGACTTGGCCAAACAGAGTTGCATCTGCAGTCTGTCATGCCTGCATATGTTAGCCCATGTTGGTGGCGATCAACATTGACAGTTAAAATAAGGTGTCAGCGATTAGTATTTCCCAAGTATGGTGCATGGGCATCTTGTATTTTTCTCTTGTTTTCATCCATCCTTTTCGTCACAATTTTTTGAAAACAAATCTTTCTAGTTTCATTTTACTTGGATTTTTTGCATCCAAGATTAGGATTTATTTAGAAGATTAAGAGGAAGGAGAGCTTGCTAATTTTCTTTTCAAGATTGTTAGTGGTCCTTTAATTATCTAGGGGATCATTAGATGTCTCCTTTCGTAGGTAGGTAGGTCTTTGTTCGATGTATCCTTACGTAACAAGTTGGGCCTATGAATACCAATAAGAAAATTATAATATTCTTAATAATACTTATTTCAATTCATAACAAATCGTTGAGCTATTGCCCTCTAATCTACACACTAAACATCAATTCAAGTTCTCTAAATATGAGGTGCAATATAATTGCATGTGTAAATTACTGTTGGCCTCTTCCTTTCCAAATGAGCTCAGTAATGAAAGGCAATGTTTCGTAAAAGCCTCCAAAAGATGGATTACACAAGCCATTCAAAATCATTTAGAGAAAACTTTAGTACCAGTCACTCTATGGGACAATCAAACCCAAAATTTTAAGTGTTTCTTTGCATACTTATTCCTCGATTCCTTATCATTCGAATAAAATTATTCTTCAAGTAAATGTTTTGCATCGGTAGCGTAAACGAATACAATGTCGAGTACTAACCCCCCACCACCCACCACATCCACATCCACATTTAAAGGGTGTATGTTATTCGGTTTGAACATGACATCGAATTGGAGATGTCGGTGACCAACGATGAGTAGAACGAATGAAGAGAATTTTGAGTTCTAACTTCTCTCTATCCACCACATCCATTAGTGTGTATGTTATTTGAGTTGAATGTGGCATTGAATTGGAGAAGACAGTATAAGGACTTGGTCTGTGACCGACTAGGTGAGTGACAATCTCCATGGTAATGACAAAATGCCCATCATTGTTGCATTGTAGGCAAACTTCCATCGGTCGTCGTATTGAACCCGTAAAGCCACCACTCTCCAATTGTGTGCACTGTCACATGGCCCTCTTACTTCAGCATGCCTCTTACTTCAGCACTGTCACATGGCCCTCTGCATGTTTCATGATAATGGCAAGATGAAGATCATGGGGTTCGATGCTAGCAATAACTATGTCGATCTTGTCATTGGCTAACTTGCTTGTATGATGACAATATGCTTCGGTTGTAGATAATATAATCAAGTTTTATTTCTCGAAAGATAAAAAAATAAGTGTATGATCTAAGAATTGACATATTCCGGATGTGTTTTTTCTATCTTCTCTATATCCAGTAAAATCCGTACGCAATTAATTCAAAGTTTTTAGATTTTGGATATCATAATCCTAGATTAGGGATTTTTTTAAGATATTTAAGAATTCTTTTAATGACTTTAAGATGAGATAGCTTAGGATTGGATTAAAATATAACACAAAGTCTTACGCTAAACATGATGTCCGATCTAGTTACGATGAGGTATAGTAAACTACCTGTCATACCCGTATAAGTTTTTTGATCAAAGCTTTCTCCACTTTCGTCTATGTCTAACTTAGTTGAGGTACTCATAAGAGTATTGATTGCTTTTGAACCATCAATATTAAATCATTTTAGTAATTTTAATGCATAATTGGTTTGACTAAGAAAAATATCATCATTAAGTTGTCTGATTTGTAAGCCTAAAAAGAAAGTTAGTTCACCCATTAAACTCATTTCAAAATCTTGGCTCGTACTCTTGGGAAATGATTCGCATAAGGATTCGTTTGTAGAAACAAAAATAATATCATCAACATAAATTTGAATAACCAGAAAGTCATTTTTAAAATTTTTAATAAACAATGTAGTATCGACCTTGCCTTTAGAGAAATTATTTTGGATAAGAAAGGAGCTAAGTCTCTCATATCAAACCCTCGGGACTTGTTTTAATCCATATAGAGCTTTAGTTAACTTAAACACATGATTAGGAAAAAAAAGAGTTCTCAATTCGATATGATTATTCAATATAGACTTCTTCGGAAATAAAGCCATTTAAGAAAGTACTTTTAATATCCATTTGAAATAACTTAAAATTATTACTACTAGCATAGACAAGGAGCATCCTTATGGCTTATAATCTTGCCACAAGAGCGAAGGTTTTTTTATAATCGATATATTCTTCTTGGTTGAAACCCTTGGCCACTAATCTAGCCTTATTTCTAACCACGATGCCAAATTCATATTGCTTGTTTCTAAAGACCCATTTAGTACCAATAACTAAATGGTCATTGGGCCTCAGAACAAGCTTTCACACCTCATTTCTCTCAAATTGATTCAACTCTTCTTACATTGTGATAATCTATGAATCATCTTTCAAGGCCTCATCAATGCATTTAGATTCAATTTGAGAAAGAAAAGTGGCGTTGACATAAATTTTTAAGAGAAGAATGAGTTTGAACCCTTTTTGATGTGTCTCATATGATTAGCTCCTTAGGATGAGCATCTATCTATGTACTTCCATTCCTTAGGTAAGAATGTTTCGGAAGAAGATACATCCAAGTTGCTAGTTGAAGGAGAAGGTTCATTTAAATTCAAAACATCAAAATTAAGATCATCATCAAACTCATTTATCTTAAATTCAGAAACTTCATTAAAGATAACATGAATAGATTCTTCTACGACCAAAGTTCTTTTGTTAAACATACGAAAGACTTTAGAACTAGAAGAATAACCAAGAAAAATCCCTTGATCGGATTTTACATCAAACTTTCCTAAGGCATCTTTTTTATTTAAGATAAAATATTTACAATCGAAAACTTTAAAATATGAAACATTGGGTTTTTTGTTATTCCACAATTCATAAGGAGTTTTGGAAAGTAATGGTTTTACTAGAACCCTATTCAGGACATAACATGTCGTTTTAATGGCTTCAGCCCAAAAATATTTGGGTAGGCTATGTTCGTTTAATATGGTTCTTGCCATTTCTTGTAAATTTTTATTTTTCTTTCTACTACTTCATTTTGATGAGGATTTCTTGGAGTAGAGAAATTATAGTTGTATCCATTTGATTCACAAAAATTTTAGAAATCTGGTTTTGAAATTTGCCACCGTGATCACTCTGAATTGATGAAATCATAAAGCCTTTTTCATTTTGAATAAGTTTGCAAAACTTAGAAAAATACCCAAAGTAATCACTTTTGTGTGCTAAGAAGTATGTCCAAGTATATCTACTATAATCGTCTACAATGACAAAGACATATTTGCTACCTCCTAGGTTTGATATATCAATTAGTCCAAATAAATCCATATGAATTAATTGCAATGGTCTAGAGGTGCTTATTTGATTCTTTGGTTTGAAACTACTTTTTATTTGTTTTCCTAGTTGACATGCATCACACACATTGTCTTCAATGAACTTAATATGAGGAATTCTTCTTACAAGTTCTTTAGATGAGATTTGAGAGATTAGTTTCATGCTAACATGACCTAATCTCCTTTGCCAAAGCCAAGCATCGTCATTCAAAATCGAAAAACACATTTAATTACAAAGATCATCAATGTCAATAGTATATATATTATTTTGTTTTAAGGCAATTATGAATGTATTTTTGTATGATTTTTCATTGATGCAAGCATTAGATTCAAATCTAATGATGTATCCTTTATCACACAATTGACTAATGCTCAAAAGATTTTACTTTAAGCCATCAACCAACAATACATCTTCAATCAAAAAGTTGAATTTGTTACCTATGGTTCCTTTGCCAATGATTTTACCTTTGTTGTTGTATCCGAAGATGACATATCCTTCGTTTAGGCTAGTGAGTTTAGAGAATTGAGATGGATCTCCAGTTATGTGCCTTGAGCATCCACTATCAAGGTACCATCTCTTGCTCCTAGCTTGTGATGGTAAACATTTCTATAAAAAAGGGTGATTTTTAGGTATCCATTTGACCTTGGGTGCCTTAAAAATTGATTGACATCACTTCTCATTTTGCATAGAGTTCTTTATGGTTCCTTTAGGAACCCAAATCAATTTATGTGGACTATCTCTCTTAAGTGGACATTTATAGACAACATATCCAAGCTTGCAATAAAAGTTGCATTTGGTGTGGGGTGATACATGCAAGGTAGGGCCTTTAACAAAGGTAGTTGGATTTTGGTGAGAGCTATTCATAAATCCGATTCCACCTCTTTTATGAACTTGACCCTTATTAGCAAGGATCATGTTCAAGGACTTACTACCAATCTCAAACTTTTCTAAGATCTCTTTAAGTAGCAAGTTTTTCTTTTTAAGTATTTTTAATTCATTACATTTTGTGCAAGGAGCTAAACTATCATCATGCTTAATTTTTAGTCTATTAAAATCATTAACAAGAGAGACATGCTCCTTTTTTAATAATTTATATTTTTTACTAACTAATTTGCATTCATCAAATAAATCATGAAAAGCACTTATTAGTTTATCAAAAGATAAAATTGCATCTAATGAAATGCTTACCTCATCTCCGATAGCCATTAGTGCATAGTAAGCAATTTGCACGGTGTTGGTTGGCTCCTCTTCTTCAAATGCACTTAAA